AAAAAAAAAAAAAAAAAAAAAAATTATAATCAGTAGTGTCTAAGTATGCAATAAACAAAAATTATCTAAAATAAAACTCACTTACAAGTTATATTTAATTTTTGTGTTTTTTTTATACTTAACTCTGATAAATCACGTGGTTATAAACATAGAAGAAATATGTATATACCACACTAAAACTAAAAAGTGCATACGTTGTTCTGAATAAATAATTTAAGAGAAATTATCAAAATGTACAAATATAAATTTTACAATTATTAGTTGACATAATTGTATAAGTTGTTATGAAGAAATAATTGTATGCGTACACAAAATCGTTTTACGGTACCAAAAAAATAATAATATTTTCAAAATTTTTTGTACTTAAATTACTTAAATAATAATCATAATAATTTTGAAATCTCATGTACTCAAATTTTTAGGTACCGTCATAATCATGTCAATATTTATTTTATATATACTATGTAAATTTTCTACCAAAAATCTTATAATGTTTTTATTTAAACTTATAATATTATAGATACTTTTATGTAATATTTTATCATGTCATACTCTATTTGTATATACATATACATATACATATACAAATACAATTTAAATATTTTTAAGAATGTTTTCTTTACGAGACAAAAAAGAAAGTTTATAAAACATCTTTTATACAAAAGTGAAGGTTAATATTTTTAGACACGTTTTCTTTCCAAAATAGTTTAGAAAAGTTGTAGGTGGTTCACATCTTTTAATAATAATATAGAAAATTTTAGATATTACATATGTTAATATGATATTTTAGGTGTTTGTAATATTTTAAACATACAAATTTTATATACTTTTGTACAAGCTAATTTTAGATTGTTTATAATAAGCTGGTATACGGTAAATTATCAATACTGACCCCACATCTTTAATTTATTTATCCTCATCTTTAATTTATAATATTTTTTTGCTCTTTTAAGGAAGGATGATTTCCCACTTCTTTCATTGGTGACTCGAACTCAATATTTATTTATAATTATTATTTAATATTGTTTACTCGTGCATCGCACAGGATACGCACTAGTATCTTATAAAAATTTATACAAATACTTTAAAACAATTTATCAACATTCTTTCTATTAAAAGATTGGTAATAAATTCAAACAATCTTCCTAAAATAAATTTTCAAGTTAAAATGAGAAAAAATAATCTTGGATTTATTGAAAATTATGTATTTCAATATTTTTTATGTGTACGAAGTATCACTCTATAATAATTTGTTATAGTTTTTCTTTTGATTTGAATACAATATAATATTGGCTCTAATTTGTAAAATTGTTAAATACGAGGGTGCTATTAAAAAGGTATAAAGGTTTATGTAAAAAAAGAATATTTTTGGGATGAGTCTATATTGGAGAAAAATTACTATTTGATATGATATTATTGTAAAATGGGTTTGAGATTGAGCTTTTCAGTTGAAAAATAGTTTAAAACACACATACAAACACAAAAAAAAAAAGGCTAAAACATAGAATATAGACTTATATTCTCAATCTCTTTCACCCTCTCCATTGCCTATTTTCTTCCACTTCATAATCCCCTCAATTTCATTTCTACTGTTTTTCCGCCAGTTTCATCTGAATCCTTGCTTGCCTATATCAAGTTTGGATTGAGAGCCGTCCGATCAAAACTAATTGACAAAAAGCGTGAGCAGAATCTACGGACTATACTGCATGTGTAGAATTTGATTCAGAGCCGTACGCTTTAGTAACGAAAACATCGAATTATACCAAATAACAACATATTAAAAATCTGATTTTCTATGGGCTAAGAACTGTGAATCTCTCCTCGTTATATTGTGCTAGACCGCGTTTGTATTTTTTATTTTCGATCTCAACCTTTATTATTTTATTTAGTACAACAATAAAAAAAATAATTAATCCCACCACCTTAGTTAGTCTAAACATATTATATTGTGTGTATATATATACATATATATTCAATTTTTTATCAACAAAAATTATTCTAGAAATTAGATTATATATTATGCAAATCAAATGATAAAATTAATCTAGTGAAAATTTTTGCAAATATCTTATAAAAATTTATACAAATACTTTAAAACAATTTATCAACATTCTTTCTATTAAAAGATTGGTAATAGATTCAAACTATCTTTCTAAAAT